ATCTGTGACAGTTTATATATGGCTTGTCTCCAAGATATTTTCTCTTCGCTATGCATTTCTGATATACTTTTATCCCAGGCGTATTCCAGGAGTGCTACATTCTCAGCAACATACAAAACGTAGTGTACAGTAACAGAGCAAGTTAGACTTATTTTTTCTCTTATTTGTTGCTCTTCACTCATGTTTCCCTAGACAGAATAGCTTGTCTGTAAAGTGATCGCTTGATGTTCAAAGGACTTTTGTTTGTGTTTGATTTGCGCTTTCAGGAGATGTTTCATCTCAATAGTGAAGTCAAAAGGATGTTTTTGAGCTCTGTACCTTGAGCAGGAAAAAATATGATTTTGATTGTTTTGAGTTTTGCAGTTTGCTGTCAAACAAGATTGATTGTATCACTCTCTTGGTGTCAGGGAGTGAATTTAGATTTTGGTGTCTGCTGCACATTTTGGGACCCCTCTCTACCAATCTGTTATTCCACTGTATCTCTTACACTGGTACCTTACCATGCTCTTAAGTAGCTTCTTGTCTATTCATGTTTTGAGGCAAAGCTGAGCTTTGAAAGAAACTGACTCACTCCCTACAGGTACTGCTCCAAAATCATGAGCATAACCGCCCAGAACAAGATTTATTCTTCTTGAACCCACTTTATTTGATGTAATGACCTCACATTACTGATTGCTTTAATATTGTGCTGCTGTTAACAAATTATGATGACAAAATTTAGTGCATCACTTGCAAGCATGTGCAGTGTTAATGGTATATGTGAAAGCAGTGACCGTTATAAACTCTGTTCATTCACCAGCTGGAGAAATAAAGTAAACCTTCAAGCATTAGTCCTTTTTCAGATTTTCCCTCAGGGCGAACCTTCACACTAGAAAAGTAGTAAGATGGAAGAAGAACATCGAGCTGCTGCTGTGGTTTTCCTTGTTTCAGCCAGGGAAGTGTGCAGGCACTTCCCCTTCGTTTGTCTTTGGCCTAATTTCAGCTTTCTTTTTCTGACCAGACAGTACCAATGTTTTCTTTACTTGGTGCATTTGTCCAAAAGATATTGCAGGATATCACCAGCTTCAGCTGTTTCCGTTCTTTTCAGTATTGAATTACACTTTTGAAAAGCATAAATGAAAAATATGAGAATTACTTTTAAATGCACAAAGGAATTGCTGTTAAATGCTGAATGTTTATATAATTCTTTGCTCTTGATGTAATTTTTTTTCCTGCCCAAACACGAATTCTGTATGCTTTTGAAAACTACATAGAACTGTATTTTGGACAGATTTTATAACGAGCAGACTATAGTTCTGGTCAAAAGTTCTCCTGAACACAGCACTTTTCCTGGAAGGAGTGGGTTCAGTCATTAGTAACGTATTGTTACCAGGATGATAACGCAGCATGTGTTAAGTTTAGCTCATAAATGAGGACGCTCACTCACTCAGTCCCAGGAAGCTCAACTGTTGGAGTTGGGAACCAGATGGAAGAGCTAATCAATGTCTGCTCAGATGGGCTGGTTTTTAGTAGTATTTAGTGAATTTTGGCTATTTCATATACCAACACCCACACTGCAGTCTTGTAAGATGTTGGGTGGGGTTTTTTTTGCAAAGGAGGAGAACTTCACTTTGATATTAGGAATCAATAGCTCAAAATTAGTAAGAACATATGTAGTTACATAAAAGGGAATTAATATAACTGCAAGAAATAACTGCACTTTTAAGGTAATGCCTTCCAATTAGACAAATAGCAGGAACTGATGGACTTCGCAATAAATTTTATTTTGCTTCAGAATCTTTAAACAAGTTTGTGTGCTTTTACAAGAGAATGGTTATGCAGATTGGCAACTGTAACATATATTTCATCTCAGCTGGTAGCTAATAATTCATCCTAAAATAGAAACTACAACTTCATCCTAGAATTACCTGTCCTAGTAGGGTTAAAGCATGTCAGCCAAGTATTTGGGAGCTTACATTTTTCTAATGCTTTCCAGTGCTGGGCTTTGTTTGTGTATAAGCTGATATCTTAGTCTTGGACTTTACCTTGATTTTGTGTCTGAATAACTAAATTAAGAGGGTTGAGGTTTTTGTTTTTTTTTCATTTTTTGTCAGTAAAACACTTCTCTCAGAATAATACATAGCGTTATTGGAGTTACATCTCTGTTAAATATTCCCTGGAATAGCTGTGCTGTAAAAAGCAGGTTTATACTAGGTCCATCTGCAGTTGGAAGAGGAATTTGGGGGTGGGAGTGTTTGAGGGTGGGGATACTTTAACTGAACAAGTGAAAAAAAATATTTTTTCTGTGTTGTTAGCTGTCACTGAGTCTGGTAGCCCCATGCAGGTGAAGCTGCCACGGCTCTGTATCACCGGGTTCAGTTGGTGGCAAGGTTGAGCGTATGTTCCCAATAGGTGTGCTTGTACACATGTACATAGGTGCACACCCGTGCTGGTGGTATCTCTGGTATCTCTGTCTTGCAGTCCTTGATCAGAGAAGACTCTGTGAAATCACTGAGTATTTTAATTAAAAAGGGCAGGACCTGTCCCTGAATTACCTTTTCACCTCTGAGAGGAGTCCCTGGGGTCGTTTGTTGGGAGGGAGAATGTCTGTATCCGCAGTTCTCTCTCACAGTGGATAAATTATTGACAGTGCTGAGAAGTGAAATCCTTTTCCTGGCACTGCTCAGAGGCACTAAATTCATCTCGAGGCAGATGAGGCTAGAAGAAGTGGAGAGGAAAATCATATCAGTCAAGGATAAATCTTTAATGTTAGCTATCGTGTATTACTTTGGAAATAGAGTGGTCTGAAAGGCCTGGTATTCTTCAAAACTGGTCGCTGTGCCATTCATCAGCCAGAGCTGAGATTTCAGTACAGTTTTATTACAGAAAGATGCAAAATGATCATTACATTGCTTGAAATAGACATCTACAGCCGCAAGTGTGACATCTGAAGCATAATACAAAATATTGTATGCTCAGTCTTTTTTTTTTTCAGTTATTCTTCTGAATTTCAATAACCTAGTAAACTTCATAAAAAAAAAAATACGCTAGTTTTGTCCAGTGTGCGGTGTCCTGATATTTATTCTGTGGTAGCTGGTGTGCCAAAGTGCTGCTCTCAGTGCCCAGCCATGGAAATATGGAAGACTTAATGAGTCCACAGACTGCCAGGGAGTGGATGAGCAAGGTCAGTGTGGTTTCCTGGTTGCCATTTGTGAGGGCACATTTCCACACAGGATGCAGATGTAGATAGTTACCAAACACCACTACTTTTTAAAGTCTTGCATTTCCAAGTCCTGTGTGCAGAGTCATTAACAATTAGCCTTCAACTTTCTTATCACTCCAGGGCATGCTGTTCATACACAGGGCTTTATGTCTTTACCAAGACAAATTTAAGTGTCATTAAATTCAAGGAAAAGAAAAGACTGATGTGGAAGACTTGCAAGGCTTCCAGAGACCAACACTACCGAGTGAAAAGTAAACAGATGTTTGAGCCTTGTGCTTCTGTTTGTCCAAGAGCTGAGGCAGCTCAGCACTTTTTAGGCCCTACGAGGAGACACTAGAGGAATTCAGAGTTATTAATCTCAAATGTGGTGTCTCTAGCTTCTGAGGGAAAAGCTTTTCGCTGTAAGGGTGACTGAGCCCTGGCACAGGTTCTTGGAGAGGTTGTGGAATCTCCATCCTTTGAGATATTCAAAAGCCATCTGGATGTGGTTATGGCCAACCTGCTCGAGGTGACCCTACTTGAGCTGAGGCGTGTTGGACCAGGTGATCTCCAGAGGTCCCTTCCAACCTCAGCCACTCTGTGATTTTGTGAAGGACTAGACTGCATAGCTTGTTGGGATGATTCAATTCCTTATCCTTCCAAAATGGACACACCAGCTTATACATGGGATTCTTTCTGTTTGCCCACAGGTCTTATTGCTACTATCATGTCAAGTGATAATCTTTTATTTCAGGATTATCTATAAAAGAACAACTCGACTTGATTGTCAAAAAAAACCCCTCGAGCAAGTAGGATTAGGCCTTGGTAACTACAGACCCTCACACAATCTGTTGAGTGGTGGGGGTTTTCCCTGCAGGATTCCTGATCTTACTGGCTCTGAACGTTTTATATTGTGGTCACGAATTCAGTGTTTGCCTCAAGTCTCACTTTGGAGAGCAGAGTGGTAAAATGCTTTTTTTTTCACATGCTGCCTGGGGTGTTGCAGTTGTTTGTGCCTGGGGTGTAATGGGCTGCAGGGGCTGGGCACCCATTCTCAAGCTCGGAGAGGATGGAACAGTACTGGTGTTGCCTGGGTGGGAGGCTGTGTTTTGTTCTTGCAGCGTGTTATTCCTGGCCAGTCACACCCAACTGGCCTCCCAGATTCCTCCAGAAAAGAAACTTCATTTTTTTTTTCGGAAATGAAATAAGAAGTGTATTTGTTAAAAAAAAAAGGAACAATCTGTCAAGCTCTGGGGACAGGCCAGTTGTGCAAACAAAAAAAAAAAAAAAAGAGAAAAAAAAAGAAACAAAGATCTTTTAAAAGTTGTGGTTAACAGGAAAAAAAAGCATGGTTAACATGGCAAAAGCAGCTAATGGCTAATTTTAAGGGAGCAGAGGGAGAGAGGAGAACAGAGCGTGCAGAAGAGGAAGATGGCATCAAGGGCAGATGTAAAAGAAGACTTTTTTCCTACAGGACAAAACTCTGAGATCTAAACAATTCAAACCTACATTTCTGGTGTTGCTTTGCTGTATGAGCAGTTGCTTTTGTTGCTTCAGATAGATTGTCTGGTCATAGAGACATCACAGAGGTTACTACTGATGTTCACAAGCTAGGCAGTGTGACCTGGGGCTTGTGCCATGAATAACATGTCCTTGTTAAAGGTAGAGGAGCACAGAGGAAGAATTGTAGCACTAGTCTGCAACAGTTTACTTCCAAGTGTAAGACAGAATTCCATTTAATATCTGAGGAAATATATTTATTTATTCCTAACTGTTTTTTTGTTTATTGTTTGTTTTGTGTTTCCTCCCCACCCCATAGCTCGCACCTTCCCTTCCATTACAAGAAGATTTTGTTTACCACTGGAAAGCAATCACCCATTACTACATAGAGACGTCAGGTAAAAGAAGAAAACATTCTGATTTTATCTCTTTATTGTTAAAAAGTAAAGATTAAGAAATACTGAAACGAGTCATGTCTTTTATCAAAATACCAACAATAACAATTAGTAATCAAAAATATTTTGTGCCTCTGTTCATCCCTTAAAAAGTAGGCATAAAAACAATCAAGGGAAGATCTTCTTTCCTGAGTACCATGCAGAGAATTGTATGTTTTCACGTCCAACCCAATTTCTGTATTCAAATATTCTGTTCAATCTAAACAGACAACTACAGAAATGTAGTCCCTGCTGTTAACCTTTCTATTGTTTTGCATCAGGGATTTTCTTTTTCTTTCCGAGATTTTAACAAAGAAAATTTTGTGGTCATAGATTTTACCAGACATAACACATTTTGTTAAAACTTACTCAGATGTTATTCTGCTCTTCTAAAAAATGAGTATTCTGATGAAATATGGCTGTAGTTGCTTTTTCTTAAACTTTTTCCCTGGTTTCCTACAACAGTTATGCGACTTTTAAATTTTGGTCCTAGTTATTAAACTATTAAGTTTTTAAAGTGAATGTTACCATGCTTTCCTCAAGCTTATTAGTTCTGTATTTCTGTGTTTGTCTGGCACTGGTGATCTTGTTTATATCAATATTTACTCTTACAAGCTGAAACTCGACCCTTGGTTCTAAATACCCATCTTTCGGAACGCTATGTGATGTTTCCTAAGGTAGAAATGACGGTGGTGGAGGAAAACTGATACCTACGATTATGTGGTGCAGTATAAAAGCTGACCTCTCTCCCAGACTTTCCAAAGTCTTGTGAAAAACAAGTTTCCACTCAGTGGATATATTTCTGTCCTCTGCGGTGGGAGCAGAATTGTGCGTAGGAAACTCAAGCAAAACACTCTAGGCTAACTGGAGGTTGTGGTAGAGATCAAAATCACTCTGATACGGCGATTTTCCTTTGTGGTCTTGTTGCCATTCGCATGCAAGTGATACTTATTTTTAGATTATTGCATAAGAAGTAGTAAACATTTCGCTAGTGGGCTATTTGTTCAAGCAGAATTTAGCTGAAAAAAATCCCTCCATGTGTGGACATGCTCTACAATGTTAATGCCAGCTCCCACTGCCAGTGGCATAAATCCACATCAGCTTCATGACTTTAATCTAATGAAATCAGAGTCTTACCATTTACTTCATGAAGTTTGACAGAATGCTATCTTAATGCAGAAAGTATAAAAGACAGATTTAAAGACTTCTGAAGAATAAACAGCATGGAGTTTGGGGTTTCTTTGTTGTTATCATTAGAAAAACCATTTATTTAATTATCTAGTTTGCAAAGGAACTGATCAGCTCCAAATTAAGCTGATCTTAGAGGCCGTTCATAGATTTCAGAAATCTATGTGAAGAGTCAAAGAGGAAGTTACCGAGACAGAGTGGATACTAACCAGAATATTGAGTGTTGAGCCTTTCTCTCCCCGAGCTTGGTTTCTGACTGTAAAAGTTTTCCTTTTTGACGGTGTTATTAGTGCATGTTTTCAAATTTGTCATTTCAGCTGTTCCCCATTGCAAGGATAACTGCCTAGTGCATATTGCAGTTTACATTTCCAGATACGGTTCTGAAAATTCGATTTAAAACATGTTAAAAAACTTACATGCTGTATATAAGATTCTTTAAATGAGTGGTCATGTTTTTATATCTTAAATTTGGAAGTGAACTTCAGAAAAGTGAGGACAATATTTTAATCATTCTTATTTGCACATCTATTTAGATGACAAAGCTCCTGTGACTGATACCAACATTCCTTCTCACCTGGAACAGATGTTGGATATTCTAGTTCAAGAAGAAAATGAGAGAGAATCGGGCGAAACAGGACCATGTATGGAATATTTGCTACATCACAAGATTTTGGAGACGCTCTACACACTAGGAAAAGCTGATGTATGTCCTTCTCAGCAGAGCAGATTATCTTTTGTGTGAGGTCCTAATTGGAATAGGGACAGAAGTTCTACAGTAGGTGGTAGTGTGGGATGCTGAACTCTAGCAAATAGCTGTTAGCGTATGTTACCAACTTACTACAAATAACAGTCTTCTACAAGTGTGATCCAAGTGAGACAACCAGTGAGGTGCTGACTAGGCAGGACCCTGCGATTTGTTACTTGCCACTCTGATAATATTGACTGGGAAGCTATAAGTAGGAGAAACATTTTTGTTCAGTCTAGAGTTTATCTGGCTTCTACAAGACAGTATTATCCCGCTCTGTCTTTTGTTAAGTGCTGGGAGATTGTTCGGTGAAAAGTGCTGTATCAACTACAAATTTTGTTTAATTTTTCTTAATGTGATGAGTTACTGCTCAGAAAGACTTCCGTATCAGAAAGCATTAATTTAAGCTGATCCTGAGATAGAATTCACATCCGAGTCTTTGGTATGAATGCAGCCCTTGGCAATGTTGTCTGGTTCTTCTAATGTCTGCTTTGTGGCACATACAAAATTAGCTTCATGGTCTTGGTCCATTCTTGTTACTGTATTTCTTGGTAGACTTATGAGCTGAATTTGTGGAGTTGGATGGATAATGGGGTGAATGAACTTGGCAGCTTTTGTGATAGAACTTCTTGTATCGTGCTGCAGATGCAGTTAGCAAAGCATTGTGTATCCTGTTCCAAGGATAACTGGAATTCTCCGTTGTTTTATTCTCAGTCAGTCTTTTACGTGTTGTTGTTGGTTTTCAATCTACTCCATTTCACATATATAGACACTGTAGGGTACTAGCTATCTGAGCCTGGCATGTTCCTCGCTCTGGAAGGACCAGAGCTCTGCAATTCCTGTTACTATAGCTGTCCTATGATGAGGCTAAGATACATGATGTATTGAAAATACTTCCTTAGAAATACAGCTTGTTCAATAATCTATAAACTTTGTCAAGAAACCAAGATGAAATGGTGGCATATGTGAAGAGAGTAATTAGTAGTATGTTTCTAAGAGTTGAGAGAAGTCGTTTTGCTCTCATGCAAATACGCCTGTACGAGCAATTCTTGTACAGCCTGTCGTTACACTTTGCCACTTGTGAGTTGATATATCTGAAGTAAACATACTGTTCAGTGCTTGCAAGATGTTGCAAAGATCTGTTGCAAAAAGAATAATATCCTTTCACAGCAGTTACTTAGACTTATTACATTATTGTAGTTGCACCCTGATGGTACACACTTTGCTATTCTTTTAAATGGATTGCTTGACAACTCAGTGATAATTAGGGACTAATAATCTAGGGATAATTACCTTGGAAGGAGAACCAGATTAGGCAGTTGTCATTCCTGGCTGTTGCCACCCGTGCTCCATTCACCTGTGCAGTGAACCAGATGTGGGAAATGACACGGGTTGAAATTAACCTATGGAATAACAGCATTTATTAACATGATAGAACACATTGGAGAGGGGGATTTAGCTATAAACAAAGGTACATAAGGGACCACGAGCCATCAGATTTCATGGAGATAGGAAAGTACTTTCATGTGACATGGTGCATGAGAGACAGTAGAACAAGGGTCTGGATGTTCCACAGATATTTCTGATTTATATTCTGCTGAATGTCAGGGAAAACAACAGCTTTCTCTTGTCCTGGAACATCTGTGCATTTATAAATGCTCTATCTGTCTAAGGTTAATTGTTCATGAATTTAAAAAACCTTTTGTAAACATTAAAATGTTTATAGTTTGTCATTGTATATACTGACTCACTAAATTGCTGGATTTTTTGGCTGAATACTGTAAAAGTCAGCTGACCTGTAGCCAATTAATTCAGAGTTAATTTTCCCTTATCATTGTATTGATAGGGAATATTTCCTTGAAAGATTGGTAGAAGTCTGCACAAGGGCAATTAACTGAAAGTATGAATAAGTTGAAAAAGAAAACAGTAATGAGATGCAACATTTTTTGTTGATCTCTGTTAAGATCGATAAAAGTAATATGTTAACAGATGATTTTTTAAAAAAATAGTTTTAGATAAATTATTGCTGTTTAATTAGCCATTTTGAGTGACAAACTTGCATCTGTGTTTCTCTGTGCATTTCTTATATTTTTGTTATTGTTCATCGGTTTCTGTTTCAGTGTCCTCCAGGAATGAAACAGCAAGTTTTGGCTTTTTATACAAAACTTCTTGGAAGAATACGGCAACCTCTTCTTCCTCACATAAATGTGCATAGACCAGTGCAGGTACTGTTCAAATTTTAAGTAAACTATATTTCTGTATGACAAGTTTCTCTTAATCTGCTGTAGCTAATAGTGTCTTTAATTATTCTGTTGTTGAGTGAGTTAAAGAAACTGCTCAAGTGCAATATCAGTTTTCATGTATTGATGATCAGAGCCTTGAACTGCCATTGCAGTGCAAGTCGTAAGTAATAAAGAGTTTTGTTCATAGCAATCTAAATCTAGAGCAAACGTTCAAGTCAATAATCATACATCATTGTAGTGTGTATATAGAAAAAGAATGCAGTCCTTCGTTCCTAGAAGGAGCTCTAACTTATTTCCTGACTTAATTGTTCACTTTTCTTCATGTGACAGAAATTAATCAGGCTGTGTGGTGAAGTTCTGGCAACACCAACAGAAAATGAAGAAATTCAGTTTCTCTGTATAGTATGTGCAAAGCTGAAACAGGATCCATACCTGGTCAACTTCTTCCTTGAGGTGAGTAAATCAAATCAAAATTTTCCAGGTGTATTTACTGTGTCACTGACAACATCTAAGAGAGAGCTGGAGGTATCACATTGTGCTTCATAGCTTAGTTTTCATTCACTCTGTGATTTTTTTTTTCTCCTGTAGTATTAGAAGTTTGGTCGTTTTTTTTTTTTTGGCTTCCAGAGACTTGATGCATCAGATTATTTTTACTGGAATTTCATTCAGGGCTCACAAATATACCTGCCTGGGGTCCGTATCCTTTGTAGTGAAAGTGCCTTTAGAGTAGGGATATGAATTGTAACATAGAACACTGTGGAAGGAGACCTTGGATTTCTTACGTTGTTTTGTCTTCAGCCCAATAAAGACTAAGGGACAGATTGCGTGGGGCATTGAAACCTTGCAAGTTGCTAAGTGTTCTACAGGATTGGGCCCTCATTCTGTAGTGGCACATATGGCCTAGCTGACGTGCCAGCTTGCCATCTACAATATGACATTATTTTCTGTCTGTGAGAAAGCCAAATATCTACTTCCTCTTCGAACTTAACATGTGGCATTGATGAAATCAGAGTGGGAGGAGAAAGAATTTCAAGACTGACTTTCTGTTCCCATTTAGAAAGAGGATATAAAAGTTTAATTTATAAAAGTCTATTTAGAAATGCCTCCTTCTCCCACTTTGATGTTTCCTATGGTGATGCAGTATCTACATAGGTGAAGAGACAGAGGTATAGTATCCTCCAGGAATACTTTACAAGCTTTCTGCAAACAAGATCTGTAACAGCAAAGGCTGTTAAACTGCAAAGATACATTATTTTCCATTGAGTATATGAATATCACTTGTAAGTCAGTAGTAAAGAATCCATCTTGAGTTTATTTTTAGCTTAATTAAATACCACCCTGATTGCCATTGTATCCACTGTAGTTGTGCAAGCAGTAAAAATGGGGTAAGGATCAAAAAGTTGGTGTTTAAACATCAGAAGCACTGAGAAGCAAACCACTAGATATATTACATGGTAGAAGTCCAAACAAGGATTACTTTTCATGTTGTTTATGTAAGTTGTATGGTCTGAAAAGAACCCTCTGAATGACTCTCATACTCAAATAATGACCTTGAAATCAAACCTGAGAACCCCAATCATAAGAACCACAAGTGTTTTGTCAGACATTAGTGTTCTTCCTCAAAATAGCAAAATTTCAGTACTAAAATTCAGACATGGAAAAACAGATGATTCCAAATTTCAAAGAGATCTCTAGTTTCACACAATGCTGGCTATAGAGTTCAGGCAAGCTGAAGAATATTTCTTGTAGCTCCTCTTTCCTTCACGACATTATTCTAAATGTCATAATCTGAGGCGTATGTCTTCACAGCTCCTGATAGTTGTTTTCAGATAAAGTATTTGCAGTGCAGAATTGTCTTTTATCAGAATAGAATATTCTGGTTGTTCACTTCTATGCCTCTTAGAGGTGCTATTGTTTTGACTTGATAGCTGTTTCTGACTTTCAAATGCGTGAAAGGGTAAATTTACACAATTCTATGTGGCGTTTATCTCTCAAATCTCCAACACATACAGACTGAAATGCAGACACATCTCTCCAAAGCAGTCTGTTTGTATCTGTTCGTTTCGCTTCCTTCTTTGGCTTTTCCTAATCAATTTCTACAGTATTTTATGGACATACAAAACTGAGTGTGTATAAACCCAGGATTTCCTTTGTATGATTCCTTATCAAATAGTTTGTTGATAGAATGCTGTTTGTATTCTAGTAAAATCTTTCACCTATATTGCTTAACCGATAAGGCTATATGGCATAGCTATATCTCTTGGGTGAGTTGCTTTTGTTATGGAAGTAATAACTGGAAGAACTGCATTCTACATTTTTAAACCTTTAAAATCCATATACTAATTTTATTCTGGCTTTAATTTATTATTTTATTTAAACTGAGTTTTCCTTGTCCTTGTGTAGAGAGAAAGAACATACATGTGAATGTCTGACATCATGTGTATCTCAGTCATTGTTTTATGCTAAACTCATTATGTCATATTTTTCCTTATTTGTTTATTCCTTAGTTGCCCCATCTCATTTCATCCCATCTTATGCGAGATGCTCCTTGCAACTCATTGTTCTATGCAAAGGGAGACTTGATTCTATGTGTTTCAGTTTCTGTTCTTGAGACCTTAAATAAGTTCTAATATAGTGTCTGTTTAAAAGTTATGCCTTCATTTTATAAAATGAACAATAGTTTCACTATTAACTTCTTCTTTCCTTACTACAAATTACTAGCTTTATATTTCTTACCACCAATTAAGTAGAGATTCTCATTAGCTGTGATATCACTTGATTTTTTCACAGAATTCTTTTTAAATCTATCTGAACTTAGGCATGGCATTGTCCACCACAGATTTTGAAACTCTGATAGTTATATATCATGAAAATATAAAAATAAATGGTTTTTTATATTGTTTGCTCTCGGTTGATGCTGAATTCACTTGGAGGAGTACTTTGTCTAGAAAGCGTTGAATATGTGTTTTATGTAACTTTTTCTATTAGGTCATTCAGGATCCTGTTTTGCACCTTTACAGGAGGCAGGTGAGCAGCTAAGCTGCAGAATTGCATGATTAGACAATAGGAAGCTTAAACACACGCAAAAACTGCCTCTGTGTTGTTTGATGTACAGACTTGCCTTGTGTCACCTGCCTGTGTAAGAGTAGTGAGCTATGGACAAGTTTCTAGGGGCATTTATACATTTATGTATGTAAGGTCTTCTCATCAATGCCTTAGCTAAATAAACTATAACCTTTCAAATGACAGAAGAGTGCAGGCATGAGGTAATAGGCCAATGTAAGATAAAATAAGTTTTTTACAAAATATTATCTAATTTTTGAAAAAAATAGCTTTTCTCTTTGGCAATCCTGCTTGCTACTTGAGTAATGCCAGCAGCAGTGTATAATCCAGGACTGAAATGCAGTTCCAGCCTTTAGTTCTGCTTTGTGTGCAAGGCTTATCTTTGTGATTGAGATACTCCTGTGTATTGATAAAATATATGGGAGGATACTGGAAGACTTTAGAAGATTTAGGGATAGGCAGATGTGGTTCAGACAGACACATTTTTTGTTGCTTTGCAGCCTTATGCATCACTGTAAAAAAAAAGTATATATGTTGAAGGAGTGATTTTTCTACTGTAGTCAAAAATCATACTTATTTTATAGCATGCATTATGCTGCATTTACCACTGGGTTGCCTCTCCAGGGAATGGGTTATATGAGAGTATCACAACATTCAGTACAAATTCTCCACAAAGAATGCACATCAATCAATCAAGTGTTCACAGCGGTTCTCTAGTTTGCTGCCTGACACTGCCATGTAGTTAGTCCCTGCTGGTTTGTATGTACTAAACGCCATTAACCCCAAATGGTTACTCTTTTAAATTATTAATGCTTGAGAGATATTTGTAATAGTTTTGGCATTATCACAGAGGAGAGAAACACTTTGGATTTACAATCTCACTGCTGTACTCACTTGAAAAAATGTCTTGTGCGGAAGTCTAATTTATGGTTCTAATAAAGTATTCACCTGTGCTTATGCCAGAAGAACACTGAATTCTTGCCTTGCCATGAGTTTCTTTTTGGTATTACAGAGCACAAATTTAAATGTCATTTTATGTGCTGGAGATAGATTTATGGGAAGAGAGATGAGTTGCTTTCTTTCAGATTAAGTAGAGGTCCTTTGTAGCTTCTGAGAAGGTTCGCTGTGATCTGTTATAGTATCCAGTGCCCCATGCTAACTTATAGTATCTTCTGTCCATTCAATTTACTGAAGTTTCTTCATGAGAAACACAACTTGAGAGTACTTTGCTGTCATAAAAGACGTTTTTCCCCCTTCCTGTTGAAGATAAAATCTCAAGTTTAGAATTAGTTTAATTGTATTACTCTAACTGGAAATAGTGTTTCAGGCATTAGAGGAATTTGAGGCCTTGACCTAGAAGGGGATGTTTCATAGCGTGTGTTAAGCTCTAAAGGTGCACTCATAAGGTAAATGAAAAACTTCTGTCAAATAGTGGGCAAATGGAATGAATATGTGCCTTCAGTGGTGGAGAGAAAAAGATGCCATCTCTTTGTAAATGGCATATTCAGCCTTGAACCAAAATGGTACAGGGCTTAGAAGAGATTTAAGCAGGTTAAAAAATGTGCTAGGTTTAAAAACTCCCACGCTCCCACAACCCATTGCATTCTGCATGGTTACTGTATCCAGCCTTGTAGAGAACTACTTCAAATGTTAATGTAAAAAAATTTACTTTTAGTAAATTTCTGCTTGAGGATGAACAGTAATTTCAAACATGTAATTCCAACAAAATGCTTTGCAGAGTAAGTTAAAAGCAATGGCTTCCAAAGGATCATCAAGTGTAATCACAGAAGACATGCTAAAAGGCCAAGACTCTTTGACAACAGACACAGGACAGCCTGTTCAGCCTGAAGAAATACCTAGTGCTGCTGGAGCGGAGCAAACGGAGAAGGAAGATGACCTTCCACAACAGGCAGATGATCTCTCTTTCAGTCTGGATGATCTAAATGTCACATCGTCACCTGAGTGCTCCACTGTTTGTCCAAATCAAGACTATAATTTAGTGAATTCTCTACTAAACCTCACTAAAAGTCCCGTGAGTTGTTTTTTTTCTTCTGTTTAATGTGATAAAATGAAATAATTTGTATGCTGTGTGAAGTGGGCAGAGGGAGTGAACACACATGTATGTGCACACTGTATTTTAACTATAAAAAGTGAAATGAGGTTTATTTTGCAGGCAGTTTTTGTAAATTGGCAATTTTCTTTGCCAATTCAGATTAAAGTGAAAATATTATTTTTGAAAATTAATATTGTTTGTTGATGGTAATGTGTTTTTTGAGCAATTTGTGTAGGATGCTGCATGTTTCACAGACAAGCTACATAGGATAACCATTAGGTTAAATACATCAAAAAAGAATATTAAAAAACTGCTTTCAATTGTGCTGACTTAACCAAACCCACTTTTTTGGTAAAGGCTCTGGACTGTCTCTAGTGGTTTGATTTCTTTTAAAAACAACTGCTGTACGTCTTACCCAGCTCCATCCTCCGTGTCATACTTAGATTCTTTCAGAAGACTTAGAGGGGTTGGGAAGCCTGTAATTGCTACAGCAGTGTTGAGAGCAGAAAACTGAATCTACTGATGTACCTTGTTACTCTTAAGTGGTAGTTTACATTGTCTGGTACCTTGGTGTTAAGCTGACCTACCGCACTAGTTCTGTCAAAGGGAAGGTTGCCGCCGCTTTCTTAGTATGTGACATGGATTCAGGTGAGATTCTGTATTTTGCACCATCCAGATTCGCTAGAATTAAGTTTAAATGACTGATAAGGCAACAAAACTAAATGTGTTCACTCACTGTGGGGGAATGGAGAGGTTTTGTTTGGGAGATGTTTGCTTCTTGGTTTCAAGTGAGCTTCATTCACCCTCTGATTAATTCTTCCATGCCCTTCTGCCAGGACGGCCGGATAGCAGTGAAGGCCTGTGAGGGCCTCATGCTTTTGGTGAGTTTGCCAGAACCAGCAGCTGCCAAGTGCCTGACTCAAAGCACTTGTTTATGTGAATTGTTGACAGACAGGCTGGCCTCCCTCTACAAAGCCCTGCCTCAGTCACTGGATCCCTTAGACATTGAAACAGTGGAGGCAATTAACTGGGGGTAAGAATTTTATTTTTGTATTTAATACCCAAGGTGACTTTACACCCCTCCCTGAAACTAATTTTCCATAGGTAGATAAGATGTCTAAAATGTGCACGCCCCCATGCTAACGTCTCGAGAGCAGAGCTGAGGTCCCAGCTGCAGCACAGTGGTACGACTTTAGGCATCCGATGTACGCGTGATTTCTGACCTGGGGCCAGGTCTGGCTGCCAGTCCCTTGCAGAGATTCCTCAGGGGGCAGGTTTCGCCACTGAATTATGTTAGCAATTGTGGTGGTGTAGCTGCAATATCACGTAAAAATTATTTTCTTGTTCAGATGTTAAGGATTTAGGAAACATAAACTTTTTACAGTAAGCACTGTAGGCTGCTGCAGAGGCCAGGAAAGGTGTATTTGATAACAGGCTGTTGTTGCAAAATTTTTGCAGTAAAAAAGAAGAAGGAAAGAGTTACTGCATAACTCATCAGCATGAAGCAAAAGATACATGCCTGTTATCCTAATTGCTTGCATGTTAGGTTCCCAAAACACTTCTCTTCCCCACTCTGCCTTCATTATTATGATATGATCTATTAGTGATCTATTAGTACTGAGTTAAAAAGTTGGTGTTTGCAAAATAACTACCAAAATTTCTAGGGATTGGAATTTGAAGTTACAAGGGAAAAAACAACTTTGATTAGTGGGAGAAATAATTATTAGATTGCTTTACCAAAGAAAATGATGAATTTGTTATTCCGTAGAGCCTTTAAATCAAGATACACGTGTTTTTTTCTGAAAGACACAGTCTAGTTCAGGCATATACTCTGTGGTTATGGTGGACTTGATGGAGGTTGCTTACAGAGTAGGGAAGAACAATTGCCTTCATTTTATACTTCTCTCACTGCAGGAGTTATCGATTACGTTTCTGTGGTCTGTGTTTCCTGGGAGAGCAGACTGGGTGATCAGTTTTCCCTTCTGGCTCAAGAAATACTTAACCAAACAGAGTTCTGCTGCTGTACATACTATGTATTCTTTAGCATTCCACTGAAAACCTGTGAAATGGTAGCACTGCCAGATTAGTAGATACCAGCAGAAAAGCTATTTTAATGTTCACTTCGTTGCTAGTAGATCATTAATTACTCTGTTAGGTTCAATAAGAATAAAGTCCAAGATTCTTCAATTAACTTGTAAATTAAATAAGTATTTTCCCCTGTGTTCTCTAGTTTGGATTCCTATAGCCACAAAGAAGATGCATCTGCTTTTCCAGGAAAAAGAGCGTTGATTTCGTTTCTTTCATGGTTTGACTACTGTGATCAACTCATCAAAGAGGCACAAAAGGTTTGAAATGTTTACAGATGATACAAATATATTCAGCAAATAAGTAGTTACAGTTTTTCTTAGCTTTTGAGTTTGAGACATACCATTTTGTACTTTTGTTTCAGATTGCTGCTGTTGCTATGGCAAAAGCTGTGCGGGAACGATTTTTCATTGATGTTATGGAACCCCAGCTGATGCAAACGTGAGTAGCATCCTACAAGACACAGCAGAACAGAATCCGAATCAAGCTGATTTTTTTCAGCTGAAATGCACTACGTATCTGACATGAAATTTTTTGTTCAGTTCAGAGATCGGAATCCTCACATCAACTGCACTATTGCATCGCATTGTTCGTCAAGTGACTTCAGATGTCCTGCTGCAGGAAATAGTTTATTTTATACTTGGAGAATCCAGAGAGCCAGAAACTTTGTCAGACATCAACAGGCATCCATTGCGACACAGGTTAATCGAACACTGTGATCACATTTCTGATGAGGTGAGAAGTGGTAATGATAGAATAATGTCTGCTGGCCAGTTCTGTCTTGCATAGCGTCAGTAAAAGTGCCATTGTGAGGCCTTCCCATATTTGTGCCAGGTTACTTTTTTTGCCAAGGTAAAGAGTTCTGACTGCCAGCCCTACAAATTCCTTTTAGAAGATAAAAGGAGGAGCGTGGCCAGCAGGTCAAGGGAGGTGATTCTCCCCCTCTACTCTGCCCTCGTGAGACCTCACTTGGAGTATTGCGTCCAGTTCTGGAGTCCCCAACATAAGAAGGACATGGACCAGTTGGAGAGGGTCCAGAGGAGGGCCACGAAGATGATAAGAGGGCTGGAGCACCTTTCCTATGAGGACAGGCTGAAAGAGTTGGGGCTGTTCAGCCTGGAGAAGAGGAGGCTCCGGGATGACCTTATAGCGGTCTTCCAGTACCTCAAGGGGGCCTACAAGAAAGATGGGGAGAGGCTGTTCAGGAGGGCCAGTTGTGATAGGACAAGGGGTAATGGTTTTAAAATAGAGGGAGGTAGATTCAGGTTGGATATTAGGAAAAAATTTTTTACCATGAGAGTTGTAGAACACTGGAACAGGTTGCCCAGAGAGGTGGTGGATGCTCCATCCCTGGAGACGTTCAAGGCCCGGTTGGATGAGGCCCTGAGCAACCTGATCTAGTTGGAGATATCCCTGTTCCTTGCAGGGGGGTTGGACTAGATGACCTTTGAAGGTCCCTTCCAGCCCTAACGATTCTATGATTCTATGATTATTTAGTCCAGCTAGCACAGTGTTCCCATTAATAAAGATTCTGAATTTGCTTGCCCACTATGCATATCTAATTGGGCTTGCTCACCTGTAGGATAGGGCAAAATCTGTTTCTGTAATTGCATTTTAGTTCATGCTTTGTTACGTTGCATCGTTATTTTCCATGTTGTGTCAATTCTGTCATGCTGTCACATAAGGTATAGTTAAAAATTTCCTATTTTTTATATAAAGTAAGTGTGGTCTGAGAATATACACAATGCCAATTAGAAGATGATATAGTAACTGTAAGTACATTACACACACAGTAAACATTGTTAAAATAATTGACTTCAGTAAAATCCCACCTCAGGAGCTGCTTGTTTCATTTTTTCTGTGAAACAATCTCCACTCTACTTTTTCAAATAGAAACCAAGCTTGCCTGAAATACAGATCTGTGCCTTCACGTATCCCAGTTTTTTCAGTATGTTTACTTGCTCACCCTGTCAGAATGAGTTATCTGTATAAATGAGTTGATCTTTGCAAAGCTAAGCACTCTAAAGCTGTTTTTAAAAACTGTCTCTGTATTGCTTAAAGTCAGTCTCCTTTTAAAAACCTACCTAGTGTCTCCATGTAAAAATCTTAGCCTATTATTCTAGTCACAATATTCCAGTATCACTTTGTAGTATTCTGGGTGTTTATTACTAACTTTCAGTCCTGTTCTGTGTCTCACATGCTCAGTGATAACCATGTTCCAGCATGGATCTGATTGTAATATGGAAACCTAAGTTGTAAGTTCTCTGGATGTTCTTTGTAGTGTTATTTTGGCAAATTTTAAAACAGTTTCTGTTTTACAGGAAAAAAAATACATCCACATACTGATTTTCAAATGTGTGTGAACTCTTCATCCATGTTTAAACCACATTCAACATAACAATTTCCTTATTTTTCTCAGGATTTTTGCTTCCTTCCATAATGTAAATAAGTAATTGCAATGTTCTAGGATGAACAAACCAGGTATAAGGCAAAAAGCATAAGGCGGTGGTGCGTCTCTTTACTGAATTTTTGCTTTTTATGTTGCAGATCAGCATAATGACTTTACGGATGTTTGAGCACCTTTTGCAAAAACCCAATGAGCACATTCTTTATAATTTGGTTCTGAGAAACTTAGAAGAAAGAAACTACATGGAGTACAAGCCTCTCTGTCAAGAAGATAAAGATGTGGTAGAGAATGGACAGATTGCAGGAGCAGTGTAAGTTTCTTTTTTAGGGGAAGTGTTCATAATAGCTATCTTGGATCCTTATTTTGAGAACAAAACAGGGTTTTTTCCAAGTAATTGAAAGAAAAGTGAGCATAGACAGCACTTTGAGTGCTCTATGTATTAACCCTTATCTATAAAGCGATGTTGGAACAGTAACAGAAAAGCTAAAAATTATCAAAAGCCCCTTTCCTGAACAATAGGCACTCAAAGGTCTTCATATGTCAGTTTACTTACGCATCTACCTAGCTTGAGTCTATGCATATTTGTATTGTTTTCAGGGAGATTATTCTTGAAGTCAGTTACTTAGGTGTCTTGCTTACGTTTATGTTCTTGAATCGTTTTTTGATGGAAGAACTTTTCTGAGGCACTTTACATAAAATCCTTTGAAATACCCTGCATAACTCTCATAACTCCTTTTTTTACTGATGGAGGGGTAAGGACTAGTCACACCAGCTATTTCAGGTATCTTAATTTAGATATTTCTGTCTCATCTAAAATAATATAATGATATCCTGAAGTGTAACTCTTGTAAAAAATGTGGCTAAAGAGTTTAAGTGATTTAATGCAGTGATTTTGTACCAGTCAAAAATGTCTGCTCTGTTGTTCAGATCAAGAAATTGTGATTTTTCTTGAAAACAAAGTTTGTTGGTTATTTGTAAAGGTTGATATTTCTGCATACTAATTAGGTTAAAAGATGAACATATGATAATGTTCTGGAAAACATCCTAGTTGTTCAGAGAAGAAAAACAGAAAGCATGCCATTTGACCCAGAGAGTTTCCTGCCTTCCATAACATTCTGTGAATGATTATGTTTTTGTCTAATGCGATCTCACAGAGACCTGGAGGAAGATCCGTTATTTACTGATCTGTCTCCAGATAACACATTGTCAACTCAAGAGTGGCTCAGTGCTTCTCCACCTGTCAGTCCAGAACACCCAAAAAATGATGGGAAGACTGAAGTTCATAAAATTGTAAATAGGTAAGTTGAAACAAACACTTAAAGAAATCTCTGAATGTGTGGGTGTCTGCACACGCTGTGCAAATTAAATGTACTCTGTAATGGATGTTATTCTGTGCCAGCTGGTAAAATGACTCCGCAGAAGAAAATTATGTGGCATTTTATCAGAAAGCTACTCCCGACAGATTAGAGCTTACAATAAGTAAAAATAATTCAACACAAATGAGAAAAATAGAAGAACTTTACAGCTAATAGTCTAGTTGAATACTCAGAATTCATGATTAAAGCCTCATTGATTATAAAACTTTTTTTTCTCAAAAATATTTGCTGTACTTGAAGTGCTGTTACAGGATTTGACCTTTCTGGAGAAGTCTGGGAAGCCTTGCCATAAACGTTTTAGGGGAAAAAACACCTGAAGTTCCTTAAACACATATATAAAAATAAATGATTGCCATGTTAGAGATAACTTTCTGTTCCCTGAAAATCAAGGGGCGTCTCTGTCCACTGTAACATACCTTTGTGCATGTTAGACGTACGGCAAATTGGATATCGCAAAGAGAACAGGCTCTGCTCTGAGCGACTTAGTGACGCTGATTCTCTTAGCAACTGGCATTAGGACAAATGCTGTTTGCTCTGTTAATACACGGTAGCAAAGCAGCACTGATATTTCAGTGCTGACCTGTCTGCTTCCCCAGAAATAATGGAAGGTGTTAGCCAAAGGAAGCAAACAGCCTGAGGACAGTCAGCATAGAATGGCGTAGTCGCGTCTTGCCCTCTTTTCCCCAGTACTGCTCTATATAGCTTATGGTGGACATGGTTTGGAGCAAAGACACAAAGTACATTCTCCTAAATCCACCTCGTGTATTCTCCATCAGTGAATATAAATGTTTTCAGGATTTGCAATGTTTTGCAAGTTTGTATTTTTTCAGGTAAGATGAACTCCGTACAAAAAGTCAGCTACCTCATATTTTTGCATTTAAATCTTCCTGGAGCCTCCAGCAGTTCTTGGGGTGTGAAGAAAGCTGAAACTGGGAAACAGGGTCCAAAGACTGAGTTTTATTTTGCTGTCCAGAAATTTTAGGGTTTTATACTTATTTTTTAAAGACAATTCCTCTCTAATAAGATTCAGAATTTCCTCATGCTTTTTAGGTCAGATGTTGGTGAGGCAATAAGGACATACAGTATTTGCACTACATACCTGGCAATTTGGAACTGGGACATTTATATGCAAATATTCCTGTATGTTCTTAGATGTTAATTTTTTACCACAACAAACTATGGTAAATAAAACTGCCTATGCAGTAGGTTAAGAAGAATTTTAACTGTCGTTATCCTCTCTTCTGTCTCATTTATTCCCCAGAAAATTTTCCAAATGCTCTGGTAAGATGGAGTCTGACCCTTAGCAAATACTTGACCTCGTTATGAATATTCCTTTTCATCTCCATTCTGTCTGCCAATTCTTAGAATTTTTTACCTCTAGTGCTAGATACAAAAGTTCTGAAGTATGTATCTTGTTATTACCAACAGTAGTTAGAACAGATGTGCTTAAATAGATTTTATATTCTCTGTTCTTCACATAAAGTTATGGTACAATCTGTGGATTAACTGGCCAATGTACTACTGAGCACACTGTTACAGATGATGGGAAAGAATTGATCTGGCGCTCTATGGATTATAGATATTCACGAATGTACTTTTTTTTCTCTTTAGTTTTCTCTGTCTTGTGCCTGATGAAGCTAAGTCTTCATACCACGTGGAGGGTACAGGTTATGATACTTACCTCAGAGATGCCCACAGACAAGTAAGTCAGTGAAGTCTTCCTTAGTCCTTGAGAATTTGAAATGCTTATGAGAATGTACAAATGGTTCTATAAATAGTTCTACTAAATGCATCTTTTGGTAATGGAAGATGGGAAAATTCGATTTTTATTTTCTAATGAAAACTTACCTTTGGAGACCTTTTCACGGTGCATCCACCTTCTATTACTCTAGTGGGAATAATGGATGACATTAAATGCATTAATATTCATACAACAAATACACTGAGAGAAAATCTGAACTGCAGATAGATTCTTAATTTGCTTTTGCATTTATCTGCATTCTCTTGGAGAACTGCCTGCCAAGCTGTTTGAAAGGACTAAAGGGAAATTAAAATGCTGCATAGGAGTTATGCAATCTGGGACTTGAAAATAAAGGCTCATCACAGGGAATGCACAGCCTAAGGCGTTCAGGTTTGAAGTTGGGAGTTTTGGTAGG